TTACTTCAGATGAAGATTACCCGACCTTTTTCTTTTACACTAACTTTCATCTATTCCTGTCTAATTGAGCCTCAGATCGGCATATCTGCTCTGCTTAATGGAAAAGTCAACTGTATGAAAGCTAACAGATACTAACTTCTAATTTTGTGAAGTTCCCTTTATTCACTGATTTCAGCAATGCTTAGGCTCATTCTCTAGTAGAATATCTTAAATCGTATAAAAACTCTTTTATATAAGATCCTTGATGCGACCTTCCTTGAATTTCGCAAAGGTCTTCACATATACTTATTTTATTTTAGGTTGACCAATAATGTGTTCACTCACTGCACTTTTCTTCTTCGTAATAATGGCCAAAGTATGTTATTTCTCTGTACCCACCCCATTCATCGTTTCATATTGCACTTAATCTTTCTCCAAATATGAAGCCGAGGGAGGAAAGCCGAAATTGAGGAAAGACAGCACCTCTTACAATTTCAAGGCATTACATTTAAAAAATTAGATTTATGTAAACCGACTAATATCGAAGCCGCAAAGCTATAACATTTGAAATGAAGGTTTTTTAATGAATGATCCCGTTTCCTTCATCATATCATTTGAAATCTGGAGAAAAGCTGTTTTTAACAAATTTTTCAAATACTTGAAAATTTTGGTTTATTTTCCCTTTGTTAGAACTGCTACAACATACATCTGTATTGCATTCTGGTCTAAGAGAATGCGGCTATCGCCTTGCAACCGGTATCTCATCTGCGATCATCTTAAAATACGTGTTGTAAGAAGAATACAAGCTTTTAGAAATAAACCAAAGAGTTGTTGTGCTCATTGTGGACTGACAAGTTTCAGTTTAGTCGCAAATGTACAAATATTGGTACTAACTTGAGGAACATCTGAAGCATTAATTGGATTAATTGAAGCCTTTAATCTGCCTCATACATTATTTAATTGTTGTCGGTTGACTCTGGAGATGTATCTAGAGAATTCAATAGCCAGTAACAACGCATTTTAGCTGACATGGAATGAATATGAGTTTCTATTCATCTCCTTCTGCCCCTTGAAAGCGGTGTTCCAGAATAATTTCAATTTTTACTTGTTCATCCTGCAATTTTAGCGATTGAAACAAATGCAAGCT